CAAGGATGTGATCATGAACAAACCAAAGGTCCAGAACTGGGAAGACAGGAAGAGCAAAGAGCCAGGTAACAGACAGGATAACTGGATGGGATTCAGGAAAAGTGGAAATGTGGCAAACAAAGCATGCTAGCAAGGCAAGACAAGACAGCAGAAACCAGATCCCATAAGGGTTCGGTGAGTTACAGAAACTGGAACACATTGCAGCTAGCAGGAAGCCCTGCATTGCTGATGTGAGAAAGCAAAGCAGGATACAGCAAGGCAGGACATGGTAAGACATAGTTCTGTGGCAAAAGAAGCTGTGGCTGCAGGAGCCACTTCTGTCTACATTCATGCTGTCCAAATCTACCCAGCAAAGTCAGGTTGCTTAGCGGTAACTGTCATTCTTCAAGCAGTCTTTTGTTCATCCATACATATAGACTCTGTGCCTGCATGGAGCCTGTTGTCAGGAAGTTTCTACAGCCAAGTGTTAGTTCAGGCAAGAGCCCCTCCCTGTTCCCTGCATCCATGGGAGGGGGTCCCATCCATTCCCTCAGTTTGAGACCACCTAAAGGTCTCAGGACTAAGGAAGGAGTGTTGTACACCCCAGTCTGGCCCCTGTCCCCACAGAAGGGGTAAGCTGTCTTTGTTTGACACTCAGTGGGGCCAGTGGGAGGGTTGTGTGAATGCAAAAACGACCACTCAAAGAACAACTACAGGAAAGCAACCTGACTTACTTCTTTGTGGTTTCTGTGCATCACACAAATGCGCAATCAGCAAGCTCATCCTGGAGAGGATCGTAGGATGGTATTGACACTGGAGGGTCACAGGGAGGACTGCTCTGCCAAAGGGGAAGTGTGCCCCTTGTCTGGATGTTTAGCCTGTAGACCTTGATGAACATTGAAGGTGTGGACCATGTAGCTTCTATGTAAAGGGAAAGGAATTCCCATGAAGAAGACGGTGGAACTCACTGACCCTTATGTCTTGGATGGGCTAAGAGTTATAGCCCAGTCAGCTTGTAGGCTGGGGATATGGTGTTTGTGTCTAACAGATAAAGGGGAGCTTTAGTCTCATTATGGGAGAGCATATGCAGAGACTGGAGGATGTGCTCGATCATGGCATCCTGTTGGTCAAGAGTGTCACATGGTTTCAGGGAGACATTGAGGGTGGTTCTGACATTTTGGGGTGAAGTATCAACTGTGAAAGTTTATGGTGTAACATGCCATACCATGAGAATTAGAGGGTTGATGTTGGGGTAGAAAAGTTTGCCCCAGTCTCATGATAGCAGACCTGAGCTGTGAGGAAGATGGAGGAATTTCCTGTGGCAGAGCTGCAGAAGTTGATCAAAACACAAAGATGCAGTCTGGTGCTCAGCTGCCACCCATACACATCAAGGCTCATGCAGCTGAGTGTCTACCTGCACAATGTATCTCCTAGACTTTTGTCAATTCCACATCCCCTGGCTTCTCAGGTCACCACAGTTGCTCTCCATCCCAACAGCAATGCATCTGTAGTGACTAAGACAGATGAATCTGGAGTGAGAAACTGATGCCTGTGGTGAAATTGTGATAACTGGTCCACTTGTGGCAGCTGTTCCTGGTGGAGGAAAGGACATCAAGGTGTGCCTTGTGCAGGTTGTACAATGTGCAGAGAGCATGGACACACCACTTTTGTAAGGTGTGCATTCAGAGCTTTGTAAAGAGGACCATTGCCACTGGTTATGAGCCCAAGCAGCTTTTTTACTCTGTGGGCCATAATAGTCACTCTAGTGTGGAGTTTGGTGGCCATCTTGATTAGTGCAGATACTCTAGATATTGGGAGAAGAACTTTCTCTGAGAATGAGTTGAGGCAGGCCTGTATGAAGAGGATGGACTGGCAGGGGGAATGGATTTCTCATGGTTAATAGAGTGTCCCAGTCTGTAAGAGAGAGCACATGGTGTGGCTAAAATGTGATAGTTCTGTCTTAGATGGTGCACTGGGGTTCTCTTCGGTAATGAACAGTCTATTGGGATTCAGTGGCCCTGTGTCAATGATTGACAGGATATTTGTTCTAGAGAAGTCTTTTAGTACCAAGTGGCCCTCAGTGTCAATGGTCAATGTGAGCTCTGTCTCAGTAACTAATGGTCTCATGGATCTGGCTGCTCTTCTGAGACCAAGTGGGTCCTTAGTGTTGATGATAGACAGGGGCTCCTTCTCAGGAATGAACTGTCTTTTCGGTCCAAGAGCTCTTGGGACTGACCGAGTCCCTAGTGTAGATGGTAAATAGGGGCTGGAACAGTCTATTTGGTCTGAGCACTCTCATGGGAAGACTGGTGGATGCAAAAGATCAGACAGAAAGCAGGTAGGAAAAGGGGTCTTTTTACAAGTGAGGAGTGAAAATGAAGTTCATGGAAAGATGGTGGCTGAGTAGGGAGCCAAGTAGTAGAAAGCGGTAGAGAAAAAATGGTAATAAATGCTGACAAAATACTTAAGTTGAGGACAGAAATACTTCCCCTTCTAAGCCTGAAAGCAGCTGCAAAGGGACTGAAGGAATGGGTGGGAGCCTCTCCCATGATGCAGAGAACAGCAAGGGGAAGGGCTCCTACTCAAATTAACACTTAGCTGAAGAACTTTACTGACAACAGGTTCCAAGCAGGCACAGAGTCCATGTGTGAGGATGTAAAGAGACCACGAGGAAGAACTGTTGCATTGCTGGCAGCAGTGCTGTGACTGGCTTCTTCATCCTCCCTTCCTGCCTTGCCAGTGGATGGTTTCCAGATGCCCAGATGTGGCAACAGGATCTTGTTGGCAGTGGGCCATCACACCATGCTGACTCCAGCAGCAGCATTGACCATGGAAATAGCCATACTTGGCACTTCAGTCTGGTCACTGAACTTTACTGGAGCTGCACTTGGAAAATGTGTGCTTGTGCTACTCTGGAAGCCAATGGTTTCCTCTTGAGAAGGACAAGAGGAACACACAGGCTGTGTGTAGACATCAACATCAGGGCAATCACTCTTTCTGTCTCTTGCTCTGCCTTCTGCCCTCCCCTTCACTTCTATCTTGTCCCTGACATTGCTAAGCACTGTCAATTATTCTTGCTGTCCACACACCCCTCCACCTGCCACCCACAACAGCTGCAAGAGAAACACATTCCTTGTGGCCAGACAGAAAAATATTCTCAGTCAGATGCCCACAGGTGTTCCCATGGGAAGCTCTTTCTAGTAGGACATGGTGCTTCAGTCCCTGGCATGGATGCCCACAGTGATGCCCTGTGTGTGCCAGGTTGCAGTGTGGAGGCAGCACCTGGTAGCATGTATGAATCCTGCACATGGAGAAATGTGGACACATTTGCAGCAAGGGAGGGGGGACAAGTGTAGGGGGTGTGCTTTTGTATCAGTATAGAACAGGGCAGCAGTGGGAAGTGTTGCTGTAGTGCTCCTCTAGAGTAACAGTCCTACTCTTGTGAGTAAGCTGATGTTTTTGTTTTGTTTTGAGCAGCAGAAAACAAAAAACACAAAAGAAAGCTGGCTGTGGCCAGGGGACTGTGTGAGTCGATAAGGGAGAAGCAGGTGATCCCTAGTGCACCCTGGGATTGATTTTCAGCTGCTAGGATATTAGCTGCCTTTAGGTGGAAAGATGGAGAAGTATGGAAGCCATGCATGGAGAGAGAAGATACTGCACTGCACAGTTCTGCACAGCATGGCTTAGTGTTGTGTGTGAACACACTCACTCTGTAATCATCCAATGGTTAAATTGTCTATCTGCTTTCTTGCTTCTGATATATTTAAATAATTATTGTTAGACTTGATGTTGTTAATGATATATATCTCATAGTGCCTTTTTGCCTCTCTTATTGCATCTCCCTTATGCAAACTTATACTCCCCTTTGTTTTCCTCATTTGGACAAGATGTTCATTTTGTGAAGGAAGCTTTCTTTTCACTGATACCTTTTCTCTAACCATGTTGGTTACCTCTTGGAATTTGTGCTAAGATATTGTTGTGGACTTTTGCCTCCTGATTCTCCCTTTTAACTTCCCTCATTTTAGAGAAACTTCCTCTTTTGAAGTCAAATGTAGGGACTCCTTTGGCAATTTTTTTACTAAAATGTATAGTAAATCTGATAGCACTGCGGTCAGTGTTTTTGGTTGGTTCAATAACATTTACATTTAGCTCCTGTGTAATTCCATCTAAAATTAAATCCAAGATTCCTCCTCTCTGGTTGTTACCATGATCACTGAATTTATTTGATTTTCATGAGCATACTTTTCTTTAATAATTTCAGACTTCAGATTTGGAACTGCAACTTTAAACTGTTGCCATTCCCTGCACCTTAACATTTCAGAGCTATGGAAGTGCTGCAACTTTTACCACTGGAACCAAGTATGTGAACACATATGTGGTTGAAGTCAGATACCATTGGAGCTTCTTCAAGCAGACAGAATCAAAGTTTACCAGCACCCCTACCATTGCTTTACACCAGAGCCCATATTACTGCATGGTAAATCATGACACAAGATATCACAAAAGGAAACATGGACAAACTTCATTTATATACTATCTTTCTACTCAAAGAACGGTACTCAAACCACAATTTGCTACACCGAAACAAACTAACTTTAAATCTTCAGCTATGAAGCTGGCTTGTTTCAAGAAACTATAATTAGGGTTAACCACTGTTTAGAGTTTGGATATAAAGCTAAATTGTCATTAATCAAAGATGAGGAAAAATTACAACCTTCTCCTCACAGCCATGCCACAGTAGGTGAAATATAGGAGAACAAGACTCACTGGGGCTATGATGTATCATTTTGGCTGAATGCAGCTTAAGTTTTACATTTAAATACTGTATTGGTTCTTTGTGTTCTGGCAATGTGTATTTTCAAACATAATTCATTAAATATATTTGGACTAATGCTTTTAAACCATGGCACAGCAAGTTGTGCATTACTCAATTTTTAAAAATCTTTTTGATTTGTATTTGGTTACTTGGCCAGCTTCTAACCAGCAGATCAGTATTACATCACAACTTAACTTTTAATTACCTCTGTAGTTGTCCCCATGTCAGCAGATGGACTACACGTGCTGGTATCTGGTGGAGCTGTTCCAATGCTACTTTTAACAGGGGAGCTAGGAGGTGGAGGTCCTGAAACAGATTCTGCATAGGCCAGAGACTGATGCAAAATTCCTTTCCTTTGAATCTTATTCCAGACTTTGTTCACTGTATCTGTTAGTTCATACAGCAATTGCACCTTAGTTGGGAAAAAGTCAGAAAAGGATTGCATTTTAGTGTACTCCTTTAAGAATTTGAGATCTCAACAAGTAAAAATACTATCCTGACATGACCCTATTAAGAACAGTATTTTGATGCTCATGGAAATTATTTCAGCACAAAGAATGATCAAAGTACAGTAAATAAGTCAATAAAATCTAATCTTGTATAATTTAAGTTATATCTTTAACAAATAAATATTTATTTCTGGACTATTTCATTAATGCCTCATTAGCAGACTCACAAAATCCCAAATTCTAAAACAAACAAACAATATAATTTTTAAAATGCATAAGAATTCATTTTCCATGATAGGTACATTTTTTCACTGTATGTAGAAAACATTACTGACATCCTACTGACCAGTCTCCTGAGAAGTGTCATTATAGTATTCAGAAAACCTTCTGTATAATTTGCACATTGTTTGACTCAGTTCTAAGATATTTACACAATGCTTCATAAATAAGCATTAATCATGGAATGTGTATGACAACAGATTTCATATACTGTATTTAAAAAGCCAAAGGAAACTACAAACACAATAAACAAGCAGATCCACAGCTGGATGCCATCCCCAGCTTCACATTATGGAAAAGAAAGGCAAAGAAAAAATCATATTTTATAGAGAAGCTTCAGCCGTAGGACATATCTAACGAATGACACTAGTTTCTAATGTGGGCAGAACAGATGCCAAGAACACTGTTGTCAGTCTTTATTTGATAGAAAACAGGACTTGATTTTGTGGATAGAAGAACATAATTTTTCATAGATTTTTTTTCAGCTGCCTTATATAAGAAATGTCAGAAAAATATTTTAAGTTCATAAACTGTGTATCAATTAGTATTTAAGTTTAATATTTGAAGCTAATATTCAATGAATTTATTATTTAAATTGTTTCATATGATCTTTATAGTTTATTTCTTATATATAAACTACTGAGAGATCTCATGTTATCAAGAAAATGTAAGTACTTAAATCAATAAATAGTTAAAATAATTAACAGTTCCCATATATTTTGACACACAGCTTTTTGTTAAGAAATAGAGTTCCAAGCTTTTCATGTTTTAATATCTTTTTGGTATTTAAAGAATCAACCAATCAGTGCAAATTTCCATAAAAGGGATATCGGTTGTGGCATATATGGGTGGCTGCACAGCATACATAAATTATTGTTGAAGCTGAAAATTCTCACTTGTGTCTACTACACTTTGATAATCTGATCAAATAGTGCTCCTTCATGGAGCGCCTTGTAAAAAGGGATTTATTAAAATTCCAAGGATTCATGTTTCAGGTATAATTAGGCCACAGATAAGGTACTTATTAACAATTTCACTGTGTTATATTAATAATGATGCCACTGAGTCAGTGCAATCCAGTGCAGATATAATGCAATGGCACTCTGTTAACAAATAGGCACCTATGCGCAAAAACCTATTCCCTCCTTGTAGTCAAGTGTTTTCCCTGGAGAACATTCAGCAGCACTACCGTTAGTGCAAGCCAGAGTGTCTTAAACTAGGATTCAAATCTGTGGTTACTTCAGGGAGGCAACATATTAGGAGAGAGTATATAACCCAACATTCCAGATTTTTATGTATGCTATTATGAAAACAGTTCTATCTTTCTTGACATCGTGGGGCATTCAAGGCAACTCACAATACATATAAATAAAAGCTCATACATAAAAAAGCTGACTAGCAAAGTCTTTTAAAAATCCTGTTCAGATATACAGGACAGTAATAAAAACAATGACAGCATGTCAAAACAATTATGGGTTTGCAGTTGACCACATACTAAACTTAAGTCAGCAGAGTGATGTGACTGCAAAAAAAAGGAAAAAAAGCCAACGAAAATCTAAGCATCATTCATAGAATCATAGGAGATAATGGTTCTCCTTCATTCTGAATTTGGTGGCCCTTAAATAGAATGCTATATACATTTGTGTACAGTTATGGACAAGGGAAGAACAAGTCCCATGATAAAAAACAGAAGGAACTGAGTATAGCCTAGAGAAAAGAAGGCTGAAGGGGGATATAATAGCATTTTTCTAGTATTTGAAGGGTTGCCCTATAAAAGGGCAAAAACCTCCTTTCTTCTGCATTAAACCTGATGAGATTGAGTTACAGAGATAATATACTCATACCTCAACATTAGGAGAAACTTAAGAGCAGTAGAACAATTGAAGCAATTATACTGTTCCTTCCTCTTCCTCACTAGAAGTCCTCAAACAAGAGACTGGACAGTCATCCATAGCTTTTCTCTAGTTCTGAATTCCCTGCACTGAGTAGAGGGTTGAACTAGATAGTCTACAATCTCCAACTCTATGATTCTATGAACATTAAACCTCACGGCCCTTAATAAATTGAATGGACTCAATCCATCTTTTATTAATTTTCTGTTTCTTCTTCAGTGGTTAACTTTCCCTAACATGATTGTCTTCTTAAAGGAGTCATGCCTTCTCATGAGGTGTCCAAAGTATGACAGGCTGAGTTTTGTCATTTTTGCTTCTAGGGAAAACTTTGGCTTGAGTTGAGCATCCACTTCTTCAAATTTCTGTCGGCCCAGGGTATTCACAAAGCTCTCCTTCAGCACCATGTTTTGAACACATCAATTTTCTTCCTATCAGCTTTCTTCATACCCATACACTGTGATTGGGAATGATGGTGTGAATGGTTTGGTCTTGGTCTCCTGTGAAGCATTCCTAGATTTGATTATCTTTTCCAGTTACTATATTGCTGACTTTCCAAACTTCAGTCTTCTTTGAATTTCTTGGCTACAATCTCCATTTGAATTGATGACTTAGCCAAGGTATACAAAAATGTTCAATTCTACCTACTTAGGAATTGTCAAAATGAGAAGTAATGGCATCCAATTGTGTGTTGACACACAAGATACAGAAACAGGTGTTTTCAGCAGGAGAAAAGAAAGAAACGTAAGGTACATTACCATAGGTGAATAGTTGGAGACCGAACTCTTTCTTCTGAAATGTATCTGACTATATTTCACTGACTGCATTTGATTATAAAAATGGTAGTGGTTTCTATTTAGCATGCTGATGGCAAAGTCTCTAAAGCGAACTGTTTGATCATTTCCATATACACATCTAATAACTTTAAAAGAATCAGTATTGGTGTGAGGTCTCTTTTATTCCAAACATTGGCAATACTTCTTAAATGTTGTGGTAGGTTTGGTAACTTATCTTCAAATTTAGAAGTACAGCATAATTTAAAGCAAGGCTAACGATGCTGGTAAATGTGTTACTTTTTAAATATATATATTCTATTCAAATGTCTTAATAGGGAAGAGATGAGGTAGCCATGTGGAAGATCTTGGCCAATAGCATAATGTGATAGGTGGTAGGGGGCAGAATAAAATCTCCAAGTATTTTGACTTCAGTTCACAGAATTCTTGACCATTGGCCATGTTGGCAGGGGCTTCTGGTAGCTGAAGTCTCAAGACCCTGCAAAAGATCTTTTTGCCCTCCCCTGGCACAGGACATACATTCTGTTAACTGAGCCCCAACTACTAGCTAGTACCTGCAGCTAGCCTGTGACAGCAAAGGCAGTGAAATATCAGTTAAACATGGAGCTGGAGTATACTAAGTTGCGAGCAGGTTGCTTGACCCTTGTACTCAACATACTCCTCTCCTTGGAAGAATTCAGAATGGCTATTGCTACTACCACAAAAATCAGATAGTTCTCAGACTTGGCACACTTGTAGCAAAGGCAGTCAGGTCTCTGTAAGTTGTCTTTTATCTTTTGTGCCTAGCCCCACCAACAGGAACTGCCCTGGAACTGAACTGGCTTATATTAAAGTCGCCAACACTCACTAGACACATTATCTGCAAGGGGGGCTCACTGATGTCCAACAGGTTAAAAAAGTGGGAAGTCTCCTAACTCCTCTGTCACAGCTTTTAAAATTTCAATATTAAAATATCATGGGAGTGTCTTATTATTTATCTATTACGTTTATAACCCACTTTCCCCCTATTTAAGTAACCCAAAGTGGCTTACATGGCTTTCTTTCATTTATTCTCCCAACAAGCCTGTGAAGTAGGTTAGGCTGAGAGTAAACACAACTGGCCAGTCCCAGTCCAATACTGTATCCAGTACAGTGCATTGTCCCTCATGATTTATTATGGTTTAAAATTGTAAGTTATTTTTAAAAAATAACAAGAAATGATGAGAAAAGATGGAATGATTTTCTATGTTTTCCAAGACAAATATTTGCTCAATTTATTATCTTTTAAAATTACTATCCTGACTCTACACAGGATACGCAAGATACAGTTTCACTAGTCCTGTAATGGGTATCTCTTGCAGGATATGTTTAGGTGTATCTTCAATAAATATCCAGATACATTTTTCCATGGAACAGTCTTTTGAACTGTGAAATGGACAGTTGGATGGGTACCTGGCTTCCACCTTCCTTCATCTGATGGAAGTATTACTACTACTACTACTACTACTACTACTTTCATTTCCATACTTCCCCACAGCTGAAGGTTTCTGGGTGGTTTTAGGACATAGTTGTTTGTTGTGGAACAGGGATTATCACCTACAGTAGGCTCAGTACAATGAATTGTTGGCCATATACTGACAGTGGAGAAAGAAGAGCAAAGTGGTAGATCACATGTTTTGCCTGCAGAAAGTCCCAGGTTCAGTCACTGGCATCTCCAGACAGGAAGTTCCTGTCAGTCAGCATCAAGAATAATGAGACAGAACGACCAATTATCAGACTTGGCATAATGGCAAGTAATCATGAAGCAATATAATGAGCAACAGCAATTGAAGATGGTCAAGGATAACTGTGCATTTTAAAGCAAAAATTCACATCACATACCAAAGTCTATGGACATACATAAAGATGTTTTTTGGATTGTTGCCAAGGACTATGTTCCTTTTTTGTAATGAACTACACATTCTACAGATGATTGTATAAATGACAAATCTGTTAGGCTGAGGAGATTTGTGTGTTATTTAAAAATCTGAGCAGAGTTCTCATGCAGAACAGAACAGGTATTACTGCTGGTCAGGTGTCCTTCTGGAAGATCATGTGATGTCACACAGATGATTGCAACTGAGGGGAAAATCCAAGGGCAAGTCAATAAAGAAGGAATGGTAAAAGACACAGTATTACCAGGCTAGACAGGAAATTCCAAGAGAAGGGTCTGAGAAGTAGCCAAGGCCCAGGCATAAATAAGTGGTAAGATAAAAGCATAGCCCAAGAAGTGGAGTAATCAGGGATCAGTATCATGAAGATGCAATCACACAGTGAGGTCTGAGAAACAACTGGAGGCACTAGACACTGAGGTAAGGTACCACTGCAGCAGCTATAAAGCTCATATATCTTCCAGAACTAGGATTCAGTCACATATCATTACTGGCCCTCTGACAAAAGTCCTACTCATGAGGGCCTTCTCTCAAGCAGACTTTGCTTGCCCATGGTCCTAGTATGTACCTTCAGGAACTGGCATTCACTGAGGCTGGATGGGTAGCTCAGGACTGGTACCTTTTGAGAATGATTTCAAGTCTTCTCTGTCAAGGGCTCAAGACCTTCTTGGTCATGTCTAAGTCCCCTGAAATGGTTTATGCCTAAAGGCATTCAGCTTGTCCTCTGAAGTAAAGTCCTCCAGGGAGGGCATAATACTAGGTGCATGAAAATTGGTAGACATTTGAGAATTTATCCTCACACATGGAAGAACACCTTGTTTGTGTGTTAGGTGCCATAATGTGGGTATTATTAGCATTTTTCTCGGAAATATTGACAGGGTGTGCAATTCAGATATTGCAGATTGATTTTCACAGCTGCTTTGTTTTTAACAGCCATCCTGTTCTAAAGATGTGAAGTCTTGGGGAAAATATTTTCTTCCAAATTCTCCAAAAATCCCTAAAAATGACTTGGAAAAATGGTGTTGCTTTTCATTTTTTCTGATTTTGCATTTTGCTGTGTGATCTTTTCTCCTGAGGCATTCACATTTCTATGGGCTTCTTAAAAATATTTAAAAACATAAATTTGTCAGTGGCTGAATCAACCCCACCCCCCCACAGCCAACCCCAACTCGGCACCTACAAACTCTGTCTTTTCATAGAATAGTAGTGCTGGAAGGGGCCAAGAAGGCCTTTGGGTCCATCCCCCTGCTGTTGCAGGACACCAATTTACATCACCCCACTCAGATGTTTTCATTTGCTTTTGGCCTGAGTGATATCTGACCATCTGCTTTACCCTTCTACAAAGTTTTGGGGATTTTGTGCTTCTGATTCTGAGATTTACTGACTGATGGTTTATTTATAAAAATGCTAAATACTTCACCATCTGCTTTTAAGTTTGATTTATGGTTAGCTAGTTTGAGGGTCTGCATGGATGGAAAGGAGGAGTTAAAATACTTAAATAAAATAATCACCTCTTACTTTGACAGAAGGCATCATTAATTTGCTTGAAAGCATTTCATTCTGAATGAGAGCAGGTATGTGCTAATGTGTACCGAAACTATATTGCACCATTGCAACAGAAGTATCCACACTGACAGCAAAGCAGGGCCCCAGCATTTGACAGTACATCTGCAAGTGATTTTATTCCATCAGCCAAAAGATACATTTATGTGCTGTAGCTATAACAATTTGGGATAAATTTAAATTACAAAACTTGAAAGAGCTTCAAAGTACATCTTAATCTAGGTATCCTGATCTTGATGGCCCCATTTTTAAAGGACTGAGGGGTGGAGGCAAGGGGGGGGAGGTTTTAAAAGTTTTTTTTCTAACAAAACCCTGAATAATAATCCTTTTATCAAATATTTTTATTTTACTCCAATTAAATAAATGCACCAACCTGAGGATTTGAGCATTTTACTTCAAGTGACTCAAGATCAACGTGAAGACATACAACAAACGAGTGTTTTGGTTCAGGCCCCGCAGCAAGCAGCATTTGTGAAGTGACTGCCAGAGTAGAAGTGCAACCCATAGGTTCTATTATATTGAGAGTCATTTGCTGTCCAAGCAGTGTATATACACTGAAATGATTCAGATTTATTGTCCAAGGGAATGCATCACCTGGTGAATTAAGAGAACAGCAAAACAAAATGCTAAACACAAAAAGAAACAGCTTCAAATGTTTGATTCATACACTAAAAACCTTACCAGTTGATTACTCCTATATATAGCCTAATAAGAATCAAGTCCAAGACACACGGTGGAACGGTATATAATTAGAAGCCATTGAAAACTGTATCAAATATAAAATTAACAAAGCCCCAACATTTTCCATGTATTTCAATGGTTGTCTCACATACAGTACTTGATTTGTTCACATTTGTCCATGTAATGAAACTGTGTTATTCTGCTTGTTACAGCAATTAGGCATTAACCTGCAAAAATTGCCACTTTTACATTTTAAGGATCTACACTTAAATGGAGCTTTAAATAATTTGGTTTTAGCTGGTTCATGTCCTTGATTTTAAACCATTTTTAAATAGACTAGGATTCAGACATGGATAAACTATCTAAAAGTTGTTTGAAAGACCACATCATTAAATTAAAAATGAAGCCACTGCAATTACATATAAAGAAATACGTAAAAAAGTAATAGAGACACAGCTGCTTTCAGACACAACTCAGCAGCTTTTTGTGGGATAATAATTATGTTCACCAAGAATATGAGGAATGCATATGGCCATTCTATATAATAGATCATGTATTTCAAGGTCACCAATTTTTGAAAAGTTCTTAATACCAACTTTGCCAAACTACACTTCTTAACTATTGAAAGAGGTGATAACAAAAGTCAAACATGCTTTCTTTCTTAGAGAAAGAGATAACAGCCAAGCAACGACAGATTGGAAATTAAATTATCTTTTCCCCTGGGGTGCAATCCTATCATATGTTCCCTTGGTGATCAGAAACACTTGAATTCAGAGGCATTCAGTCATCCAGTGCAGGGCAGGAGGAGAAATGAAGCAATCTTCACTTTCCTGTCTTCCTTCCCTCCAGATTTTACTAGATAGAATTTTTAGTTGCTTCAGAGAGGAAGGAAGCTGGAAGAGGCTCAGGATAAGTCATATTCTGATCTCTCTAGTCTCTTCCTCTCCCTGACTTTAGCAAAATATTTTATGAACAATCCTATGGCCCCTGGGACATTTTCTCATGGAACATACAATTGCTCTCTTAGTCAACAGGGAATGTGTTGCAGTCATTGACACTGTTCAGCTCTCAGCAAAGGCATCTTGGCATTTTCCTGCATCTTCTAATTACAGGAAATATTGTTCAATATGCAAAGATTATATTTTGCTTTCCTATAAATATTTCATACATTTTTCCTATCAGCAATGGAAATAGCAGAGGGAGGGAAGGAAAGAGGGAGAATTCTGTTAAAGAAAGAGCAACTTGGATTCAGGGTTCCACTTAGGATGCTCCAACCAAGAGGAAGGTGATTTTTATCAATTTCCCACCACCACCTCCTTGAAGCACTTACACTATTCCAGACAGCATCCCAGAACAGTTTTGGGGGGGTTATAAGGGAATGCAAAGGGAAGAGGGCTTTAGTAAAAATCATCCAATATGTTTTTCTGGAACAAACACCTTCTGCAGACGAAAGGAGTCTTTCCATCCATGGAAGACAAGGTCTGAATCCAAGCCAATATTTTTACTTTCCCATATGGGTAACTACAAAGAAAAATATGTTTATAATGCTTTAACCAGCCTGCAGAACCAAGTGCAAAAGAAAGCTAGAATCTGTTACTGATTGCTATCATTGCATCTACAGACATATCAATGTACTGTTCTACTTTAACTCCTTACATTCTTTCTGTACATCACATGGGATGGAATCTGCCCTGGATGCAAAGAAGCTGTGTTTGTTAGAGTTCCACTGATTAGGTTTTTGGATGGAGACCTGCACTAGAAACTCTGAATGAAGATTCCAGTCATTTCAAACATGTGCATTGTAGCTGTATCCAAAATGTAAGCTATAGGGAGTTATTGTGTTGAAAGTTCACATAGTCAAATCTCTTTTCTTTCATTCAAACTTCTGTACTTTTGTGCAATTTCAACTGAGCAAGTTCCGAGAATATTAGATAGTGCTATTTGAAAGTGATGAGGTGTATTGCCACTGTTGGATTCAACTTTTGTTTTGATCCATGTACACAGATAAGCACTGCCTTTACATAGGTAATGTTTATTGTGGCTGGGCAAATAATACTGCATGATGTAAAAGGCAGACGTAAATATAAAATTATAAACTGACAGCCAATGTTAGCTTTGCTGTGGGAAAACACATGGAGGACTTTTAAAGTTCTTTTATTTGCCTCATCACTGGCTTCTGTAACCATAGAATTTAGCCTTCAATATACTAAGCCTTCTGATGCAGTGCAGCCAGATTGACCATTTTCATTACAGGCTAAAGGCTCACAAAAGGTTTTGTGCACTAACGGTTATCAGCACTAAAACATCGCTAAATGATTAACTCATATAATCTAAAATATAGCTGCCTTGTTCACAGAGGAAGCAGCACCAAAGGTGCACTAAGCCAAAGAGAGCTGTATGACAAGTATGTATAGCCAAATAAATTGAGTTGGCTCAAACAGGCAGAACATGGCACACACTAAAGAGATTAAAAAACCTGTGTATATATGGCAGAAGTTAGAGGCATTTGGAGGATCTTATCTCTAGATAACTGATGTTGTACTCATTGAACAGGTGTAATCAGAAATGAAGTAAATCAAAAGACAATCAATATTCCTGATAAGATAAAGCCTCCTAACTCCCCTTACTTTTTGTTATGAAGTGCTCATATGTAATAGGGGATGTGTTAATCTATTTGGTGTGTGTGTGTGTGTGTGTGTGTGTGTGTGATTTTCCAGTTTAGAAAATGGTTTATAAAATTGTTTCTAATTTCTAAAATAAATAAATAGCAACACTGTCATCTCTTGTGGACTGTTGGATAATTGTTTAAATCCAGTATGTTATTTTAATTCACACTAGAGTCAAACTTTCATGATAATATGCCAACAGCAAAATCACTAACAGCCCTGTTCTGCAATGAAGATCCACTTGAATTTATCAACTGAAATGCAGGGATATATAAGTCACAAAGTATTTTTAGTTTATTGTATGCCCCTACATAAATATAGTAAGATACCTGATGCTGGCTGCCTTGCAATCAACATTTTCATCTGGAGTCTTTACAGAATTTTTTTTCATAATATCTGGCATATTTGGTCAATATGGGCTGCTCTTTTATACTGATACAACATACCTTTTTATTTTTTCTATAAGAGCAAAGAGCATGTATTTGGCAGATTTGTAAGCCCTCTTTCTTTGTCTTAAAAATTCCCAACTTGGTAACTGCCAGGAGTTTTGGACCACAACTCCCAACATTCCGGACCAAAGGGTACCAGGTCAGGGAAGGTTGCTCTAGTGCAGGAATCTTCAAAGTTTTTCAACAGGAGGCCAATTGAAAGGTGCCGGAGGTGGGCGCGGGTCACCAAGGTGGTCCCAGCAGGGGGAGGGGGCATGGGCCAGTGAGGGGGTGGGGACACGCGTGGGGTGAGGCAGTGGCTTGCTCGCATGGAGAGAGTTTTCTCCAAACAGTCCAAAATGATCTCCCTGTGAGCAAGCTACTGCCGGGCGCACAGAGATTGTTTTCTCAGAGCAAGTCCAAAATGATATACTTGCGAGCAAGCTGCGTGTGCAAGTGCAAAAACTCTGGAGCAGGCTGGTTAAATGGGCATGGCAAGCCGGATCTGGCCTGCAGGCCATAGTTTGAGGACCCATGCTCTAGTGTATCCAGAACTGACCACTGGACAAATTATTCAGGATAACATGTATTTGTTAAATATCTGAAACAAGCAGTAAGCAAGAAAACTAGGAAGGGAGAAACAATAGAAATAATAACTTGCATCCTGCTCCCATTTCCGCTAAATTATTAAGGAGCTTGGCATTCTTAAGCCAACCAAAAATGGGACAAAGTTACATAGCACAACAGCAGATCCTCAGGTTATGAGCTGTCAAAGAAGGAAACTATTTAGAACCAACATACCTTGTCAAACAAGTGGCCACATCATAAAGACCAATAAAGAACAAAGGATTCATATGATACTCCAAAAGTAGCATCCATTGAAAATAACAGAGAAAGAGGCAAATGATGAAATGAATCTCACAAATGATGAGATGTGTTGGAAGAGCAACAACAGTGTTTCAGGAAGAGGAAGAAACTAATATTTTATCAAAACAAGATAAAAAGCTAGAAGTATTTGAACAAACATAGTAGTAACAATAGAGAAAAGGATACATTTTGAAAATATTTAAGAGTGAAAAATGACGAGATGAAACAGCAGACAACTTAAAGGAAAAATAACAAAATAAAAGTATGTACATACTTTTGGATTTTTCACTATCAAATTTTCATCCTATTAAAATGTTCATAAAATAAGTAGCAATCATACAATGAAATTTTTTATTTTAGAATCTGTTATACACTACCTTCTTCAAGAATGGGTCTTTGTACAACAAAAGGAATCTCTTGCAAGGACTCCATGTACTTGTGACCTGCACTCATAATTTTTATCTGCGGTAAGCAAAGAACCAGTGTTCCAGGCATATTAGCCTGACCATGATACCAACTGCGAACAGTTCCAGGAATATCACCAGATACAATTGTACTAGGAGATGGTAGACTGTCATTTGGAATGAATACACAACAAGATTGCACTTCAAGCTGAAAAACAAAAAACATATCAATAAAGAGAATCTTATAAACAGATATTAATATGTGTTTACTGTAGTTCCAGATCTAATTTCTGCACAATAGCAAATTATTTCTAAATTACTTGAAGCTAAAGCAACTGTATAGAGCAGGTGGTTTGTATTTTTGTAATTTATGTTTAGCAAAAAGTCACACTTGAAGAGGTGTCATTTTAGCATATAAACTTGTTCAGAAAAACATTGGCACAAAAAGATGAACATATATCTACCTTTCCAAACCTCTTTCCAAGAGAGGTGATGGAGTTGGAAAGCATACCCACAAAACTGAAAAAGACAAAATCCTCCTCCATTTGCAGTTTATTACCTTTTTGTCAGCACTAGCTAAGATCTGCCTAGTAGCTCATACGTTGCTAATTTTTGTGAGAAGTTCTCTTTCTTTTTAAAGCTGAAAGGAATGATGCACTTCTTACATTTACTGCATGGGAGACAGGTCTAAAATTTGTGTATGCAGTTAATTTTCAGAGGGAAAGTATTCATGCACAGTATGGCACAAAGCAGTTAGATTTAGATACTTCAGTTATGACCAGATGTTTCTTCTTTATTACTGTTTAAAATATTTATATACTGCTCCCCTTATTATAAATTCTCAGGGAGGTATACAAAATGCACTAAAACAACAATAAAATGTAACAAAACATCAATGGACCCATCAGTCATGCAAGTCTTATTCATTCAATCCACTGAATTCCTATTTACTTATAACTATCCCATTTCCAATACACTTTTCCTTGCCTCTAAAAATAAAAAAGCTAGGCAAATTTTGCAAATATTTAATCCCCCCAGCCCAGATATTCAGATATCTGTTCATAATTCATTGCTGGAAATAAATCTATACTAATGAACATGGAAAATTTTGGAATACAAATAGTTCCCTATCACACACCATATATATAAACACACACAGAGAAAAGTTTGCTTTCTTGATTCCACAGAGGCAGACAATTCTAATTCTTTATAGTTGAATTTTTCATGGGATCTTTGCTGTAGCATTTTGGGGCTCTAAGGAAATACTTTTGATAGTTAAGAACATAAGAAGACTCATGCTGGATAAGACCAAGGGTTCAGTTAGTTCAGCACTCCATTCATAGAGGCAAACCAGCAGTACGCAGGATCCCTCAAGCAGGACAAGTGCAAGATAACTGCCTGCCCAAGCTTCTCAGCACCTGTTGTATGCAGGCATACCACCCTTGGTAAAGGAAGTAGCACACAGCCAACAATAGTGATATCTTCCTCCCTCATCTGTCCAGTCACCTTTTAAAGCCATGCTATCACCACCTGCCATGGCAGTGAATACCATAGTTTAAATAAACATTGTATGAAAAAGTGCTTCCTTTTATCTGTCCTAAACTTCCCTCCAATCAGCTTTGTGAGATGACTTAAGTGTTATAGAAGGAAAAAAATGCCTCATTCTTCACTTGTTCCACACGATGCATTATTTTAAACACCTTTATCATGTCATCCCTTACTTGCCTTTTTTCTAAGCTAAATAGTCCCAATTGTTGCAGCCACTCCTCATAGGGGAGTTGCTGCAGTCCCCTGATCATATATTTTGCCCCTCTTGGTACTTTTTTCCAACTCAATCATGTCCTTTTTCAGGTAAGGCAGTCAGAACTGAACACAATATTCCAAGTGTGGTCATACCAAAGATTTTTATAAAGGAAGTAAGAATTTGGCAGTTCTATTTTCTATTCTGCTCCTAATTATGCCTAGTATGGAGTTTGCCTTTTTCACAGTGGTCAACATTTTCACCAAACAGTCTATTTACTACCCCAAGATCACTTCTTGTTTAGTCACTGCTAGCTCAGATCCCATCAGCTTATAGTTTAAACTGGGATTTTTTGCCCTAACATGCATTACTTTACACTTGCTTACAATGAACTGCATTCACCATTTTGATGACTATTCTTTCAGCTTGGAAAGATCCTTCACAATCCCTTTTAGTTTTAACCATCCTAAATAGTTTAGTGTCATCAGCAAACATGGCCACTTCACTATTTATTCCTAAGTCCAAATCATTTATGAATAGGTTGAAAAGCTTTGGTCCTAATACAGTACACTGGTTACACTTCTCCATTGGGAGAAACTGTCATTTATTTTCACCCTCTGTCTTCTGTTCTTTAACCAATTAGCAATCCATAAGAGGATCATGTTCTGCCATGTTGATAGAATTTAGGGAAATATGAGTAAATCTAATCAATGAGCTACTTTTTATATGCTGTTGTTCATATATTCTCAAACAGTGAAGATATACAATGGTTACACTTCGTGCCATGCTTGCTCTGCTAGTAAAAAAAATTCTTTTTATAAATTAAAATAGAACCCATAAAGAGAAAATTGCCACACACTGCTGGAGTGTCCCTTATCTTTCCTCAAAGTGTTGCCTCATAAAAGAAATTAATGATGTGCAGCTTTGTAATACTCTAAATAATTTGCTTGTGTGATAACCAATACCTAGAATGTAGGTCTTAAGTATTTCTTTCTATTCCCGCTTTGCTTAGACAAGCTGACAAAGATTTACTATAGATAAATATAAGTTGAATTCGAAAAAATAAACACATCACCACATATAGACTATGTTCATTCTGAATATTAGAGCTATTTCTAGTTGAAAGACAAAGCTATTTATATCTTTGATAAGTATTTATTGATTCAAGTGTATGAAATGTTCTCTCAACTGGAAAAGAAGAAATTGTGTATTTTACAAATTTCACAGGTTTATATACTCAAAGGCCTGCTGTACAGATATTTACAATATTTTTGGTTCATTAGCCATTGGTGGCATTCCTAGAATATATAATAAACTCTAGCAATACCAACACACCTTTTATTCTCAGTGTTAGACATGTTAGAGAAATTCTCTTGAATTTCAGTCTAAATTTTAGGGCTTATATGCATCTGAGGAGAGACAAGCTTGACAAGAGTCCAAATTTAAAATCCAAAGAATTGCCCTCTTCTCTGCCTGACAAAGGTTTTGCATCACCAGTAGAGAGAGGTCTATTGACCAAGTACATACTTTATCAGTTAGGGACAGCAAAAATTTTGTCAACTCTGTCTGGATGCTAAACCACAAGCCCACCCTAGCCTTGTACGTTGTCTACTGAACCCTCAATCAGATAGAAATGAAAAATAGAGGCTGTAGGGCCAAATACTGAACAGGAAACCACTCCTATGAAGGAGGTGTAGGCAAACAGGAGCTCTAAGTTGGCTGAGATCCCCTTCTTTCCTTCCTTCATTTCATTTTTATACCGCCCAACAGCCAAGGCTCCCTGGGCAGTTAACAAAAGTCAAAAACATACAAATGACAGAAAGTTAACATAAAATACAAAACCACAGCAATTGCAACTGCAGTATAGAGGTATAGCAGTGGTATAGGATAAAATGTACTATTAAAACTAAAGTAAAAAAGTGAAACTATTAAAATGCAGGGAAAATTAAAAGGGTTCACCTGGTGTAGAAAATAAGACAAAGTAGGTGCCAGGCACACATCTTTAAAGAGCTCATTCCATAGCTGGGGTGCCACCTCTGAAAAACATCCTTCTCCTGGTAGACACCAGCCACAGCTCCTTTGGAAAGGGCTCCCAAAGAAGAACCCCTGAAGAGGACCTCAGGTCTGGATAGGTATATCCGGGTTCTAGACAAGGCATTCCTTCAGATAACCTGGTCCCAAGCCATTTAGGGCTTTGAATGTTAACCCTAGGCACTTTGCATCAGACCCAGATTTCAACTACCAGTCAGTGCAGCTCTAAGAAGACTGACGTGTTTTGGAACAGTTGAGGTTTCTGGACCATTTTTAAAGGGTACACCACATTGCAGTAATCCAAATGATTATCAGAGCATGGATGACTTTAGCTAGGCTCTCTCGGTCCAGATAGAGACAGAGAGGAACATCAGCTTAAGCTGATAAAAGGTTAAAAGTCCTGAGATTTCATTTGGTACCAAAAAAAAACACCCTGCCTGTTGACAGGGACAGCCAGGTAGCACAGGTAGCCCTGTGCTTTACTGGTTGCACTGGTTACCAATTGAAGTTGAGGCCCATTTCCAGGTGCTTATACTAACATATAAGGCCCTGAATGGCTGAGGTCCTGGATATCTAAAGGAGTATATCTTTCCATATAGATCTACTTGGACCCTAAGGTCATCTATGGAGGTACTCCTCTGGGAAGGTAAGAATGAGGGGAAGTAAGGAAGGTAGCCATGAGGGGAAGGGCCTTCTCAGCTGTGGTGCCCCAATTATGGGACTAGTTCCCTAGGGAGGTGCATCTCAGTCCTCCTGCCAGCTCTTTAATGAGCACAACTGAAGACCTTTTTTATTTACCCAATATTTTAATAGATAATTTTTTTAAAGAGATTTTTGTATGATATTCATTGTATTCTTGTGCTGCTGTGCCTTAGATTGAATTGAATCATGGTTGTTGTTAAGTTTTATAGTAGGTTTTTTGTGTTTTATTGCTATTTGATTTATTGTTGTAATATATGTGCTCTGTAATATATGTGCTCTGCAGCCAAAGACGGAGAAGCTCTATACAGTCAGTAAAAACAAGACCAGGAGCTGATTGTGGCTCAGATCATGAGCTCCTTGTTGCAAAATTTAGGCTTAAATTGAAGAAAGTAGGGAAAAGCACCAGGCCACTCAGGTATGACCTAAATCATATCCCTGATGAATATACAGTGGAGGTGACAAATAGATTTAAGGAATTAGATCTGATAGACAGAGTGCCTGAAGAACTATGGACGGAGGTTCGCAACATTGTACAAGAGGTAACAACTAAAACCATCCCAAAGAAAAAGAAATGCAAGAAAGCAAAATGACTGTCTGAGGAAACTTTACAAATAGCTGAGGAAAGAAGTTAAGCAAAAGGCAAGGAAGGAAGAAAAAGATACACCCAATTAAATGCAGAATTCCAGAGAAGAGTCAGAAGAGATAAGTAGACCTTCTTAAAGGAATGGTGCAAA